ATTAGTTTCCAATTCACTAGGTTTTCTTTGTTATTCATAGGGTTGTATATACCATAGAAACTTAAAGCCGGGGAGGGATTTGATATTCAGCAGGGAAATGTGGGGTTGATGAATTGAATTGAATAGCTCGTTATAAATTCAGCGGGCTATATATGAGTGACCGGAATCACTCATATAGCCCGCTGAATTTATAACGAGTTATTCAATTCAATTCATCAACCCCACATTTCCCTGCTGAACATCAAATAAACTAAGTAAACTAAACTATTTTTCCCCTAAAAAAGACCAGTGCGGCCAGCAAAACTTGAGGAGATTTAGAGTGTAATAAGTTCGAGTCCCGCAGCTTTTCTTCATATGTTCATCAGAGAATAGAGACAACAATAACCAAGATCTTCGCCGTTACTTTTAAAAGAATCTATTCTTCGGAATTAACCAACGTGTATGAATCAGAAGTAATCGGTGTGACTTGGTCCATTCTATCCAAGCACGTACACACGGCCATTTGGTACTTTAGTTTGTTCCTTCTTGAATCCTTCCCTCGTATTTTTTCGAGCGAGTTCAACATCAAAAACTATTGTAATTTTTCTCATTTTTTCCCATCTGCAGACTTTGTCATCGTTATTTGCGGGAAGAAGCATGCGGAGTTCCAAATCCGATAGCAAATCGTCAATATCAAAGTTCGTCAAAGGAATGATGTCAAACGTATTTTGAGCTATAAACAAATCGTCACTGTTCGACATCGTTTCCAGAATGACTGCTAAGAATATTTGATAACAATATTCAAATTTCGATTGCTCGCTTTCGCATGAACAGGTTTTCTTAAAGGAAACTAATTTCAACAGTCGCTGAAAAGTCTCAAGAGAAGAGGATTCTATTGTTCGAAACCCAACTAAGAAAACATTCATTAAGTCTATTCAGATTTTGCGAAAACCACGTGAATTGAAAACTAAGTTTGTCAAGTTTGTTAGTTACCTCGCACGTCGGCATTACGCTATAGGCCCTCGGGCTGTATATAGCGTAATGCCGACGTGCGAGGTAACTAACTCTTACTTATTTCATACTTGATTCAGTTTTCTTTATTATTCATAGTTATGTATCTCGCTTATTCCCCAGCTCGTTGTGCATTCAAGTGCTTTATATCGAAGTTTCAGGGATATATCTAGATATCGCCCCCATTTGAGGGCAATATCTATATATTGCCCTTGAATACTAATGTATATTGCCCTTGAGTACCTAAAACTGAATACCTTGAATACCTGAAACTTTTAGCTTGAAAGAAAGAAAGAAAAATTCAAATGACAGCAAGTAGATTCGAACCCACAACCTTATCTTTAAAAATCCTATACTTAACACGTTATGCTAACTGACTAACCGATGTCAGTTATGGAATAAAACAGTTATTTAACATTGTCCAGTTACTTGTTACAAAAGGTGTATTGTTAGCATTGGTCTCATGGGACTAACGAGAAAATTGGTTATGCAAATTATTCCTGTTGGGAATTTTCAATACTGTAAATTTCGTAATCTTTCTAATCCAGGGTTTGGTTTTTAATTCATATGAAAACGGCTTCTTTGCCTATTTAAAAATGAAAATATTAATGCAGTGCTTGGAAAACTTCTTCAAGTATTAAATAAGCCAGATACATACCTCGAACGTCGGCAATCAGCCTATTCATCCCTCGGGCCTACGGCCCTCGGGGTGTATTAGGCTGATTGCCTCCGTTCCCGGTATGTAATAACTCTTACATTCGGCGACAATTCATTCAGAAATAGTCCGGAACAAACGACGAAGATGGTATCGTTTGCGTGCCAAATCTCCATTAAAGTAATAAATGCAGAAACTCCTACAAGAACATCGGCGACCGTTGGATTGATTATCAAATAGCAAGACTTTGAGACTCGAATCTTTTTCTTTGTGAAAATGGTAATTGCTATAATATTACATGAAATGATTAGGAATGATTCGATGCCAAAAATTACGTTCCAAACAGCTTGCATGGTGTCAGTCAAACGTAATACCGCTCCAGTGCTATTGACAGCCATCGCGTTATCGATCAGTAATCTATTGATGGCATTTGCTGTAAACCTATGATTGGTGATAAAGATTTTTCTGTGTGGAAAGATACGGCGCAGCAACATTTCAATGTGTGAAACTTGCGCACTTCAGCCTCTTGATCAATCAAGGTTTCTAGATCTCTCTTCTTAGATTAGTAAGTGGATACTTCCTATTGTCTGCAAATTTATTTGAATATATTCTCAAAGGAAATGCTTGAAATCGAKTAATTCAAAGTGCATGAAAAGGACGGTTGACTTTTGTACGGGTGGATMAAGAMCTAATTTGCGTCACAACCTTCTTTACCTTGRGTCAAGCTAGCTTTTAAGTGCCGCATTTAAAAGAATTAAGCACTCTAAGAATTGCTGTATTTCCTTCGTTTTCATTGCAATAAAGTTATTGAACATAGAAATTACACGTAGAGTACGCGTGCTTACAATGATAGCAGTGTATTAACTCAATATAATTAAGTTCATGACTTGAAAGTATACTTGAACTTCCTGGTTTCACAAAAAAAAAACAATGAGAGCGCTTGAAATTCATTTTAGAGGAGATCCATGTAGAGATTCATGTCCTTTTACAAGATAGCTATCATAATGCGCGCTCTCTGATTGGTCAAATGTTGTTGTTTATTATATGCACCGGTAAACAGAGGGATGTGAAAATGCTATAATATAAAAGCAATAAACAGCACTTTTGTGTGCGTTCCTGGTAAAATAAACTACGCGGAATGTTGGGAGGACACGAAAAAGGCCTAAGATATCAAGAGCCGCATGAAAATATGTTTTTTATTTCTTAAATTAAGCTTTATTCTATGATTATTTTTCTAGGTCACCTTGTGCTTTTGAGTGTTAGGTAACCAGCTATTCCTTTTTTTTTTCGGTTTCTATTATTGCACGCTCAATGGTCGTCTAGCTTCAATGCAAATTCACATCTATCTTTCAAGATGGTGTAGGGGAACCGTGAATAAAACTATTGTAATAAAATTAATCAATAACAATACAACGACAACAAAAAAGTTAACACTGTGATAATGTTTACCTAACTACACATCCCATTTTCATCATAACTGAAAAGTTTTTCAAAGCTATAAATATTAATATTATCTTGTGTTGCTTATTATAGTACAAAGCCTAGTGCTGCGCAGCACTGCTCTAGAATTCTGCCAACCACTTCTCGGTTTGCACTATCGAGTGCGCATAAAGTAAATCTGTCTGATACGCGTTAAATTCTGCTGTCACTAAATTTCGCTTGGGTCTTGCTTGTTTGGCTGACCATATTCACGTCTACTTTATTGCTGCAGCCAAGCATCTTTTTCAACTCGAGACGAAACTGCGGCATGCGCACTGTATATACCAAAAGATTAGCAAGAGAGTTGCTGTATATCAGCATAACCATTRCAAAACCAGTGTTATTTGAAACTTTACCATGTCCAGATACGGATAAAATCATGTAGGATGGTACCCAGGTAATTAGGGCCACCAAAGTTGTCAGCATCAAAGTGCGGGATAACCTCAAATTGTTTCTCATTGAAATGCTAGAGTTTATTTCAGAGCCAGAAACTCTATTGATGGCAATTGCACTATACGAAATAATGATTACAAAAATTGATGYAATCACGAAAACCATAGAGTACAATTCTATGATTTCATTAAAAATGTGGCTGGAAGTACATGCCAAATGTCGCAAAAATAATGACAAAGACACACACCACGAGAATGACATGGCAACAAAGTAATGTTTGTTGCTTATTCGACGAAAACGGAACGGCATTATAATAGCCAACGCCCTTTCAAGCGCCATCATAGCCAGAGAAAACAGCGAAGCTAAAAGTGTAAACATTGAGAAGTTCAATGACAGCTCAGTCAGAAATATTTTAGAACAATTCGTGAATATGTTGTCTTTTGAGTACCAAATCTCCATSGAAGTAATGAATGCAGAAACTCCTACAAGAACATCGGCGACCGTTAGATTGATTATCAAATAGCAAGACTTTGAGACTCGAAACTTTTTCTTCGTGAAAATGGTAATTGCTATAATGTTACATGCAATGATTAGGAGCGATTCGATGCCAAAGAGTACGCACCAAACACCTTTCATTTTGTCACTTATAGGTGATACTGTACTACTTGCATTAAGATCCATGGCAGTATCGATAAATAATATTCGTTAGTCTTTGCTGTGAAATGACGGCTTTGTCTCTGAATGAAAGCATAAACCCATCTGTTTCAGAAGCTCATGTTAGATTTATACACTTCCGTCTCTTAGTTGATTAAAGCAAGGTCTCTTTTTTCTTTAGTAAGTTGATATTTCCTTCTACTGTGGATTCCTTTTTACTATTTTCAAAGGAAATCGAGAATTGAAAGTGCATGACAAGGAGTAATTCAAGACAAAAAAATCGATTTGTATACACTCTTTTCTTTAACCTTGAGAGCCTAAGACAAGCTAGCTATCTAGTACAATCTTTTCAGGTGTGGTCAYGTGACTCMCAGCTGMAAATGGCCTATTGAGCTTRTCAATCTTGTASTCTAATAAATTCAACTTTACTTTTTGAAGTGCTTTCTTCCTCGAGGACATCACTCGTTATAAAGATTACAAGTCGTGAAGTTAACTTATTTATAATGACTTTTGCTAATTACATTGTMCTACTTAAGCTCATTGCTTGGGGATAATATTATTCTAACATGAATTTCCTGCTTTTAGGAAGACAACAAAAACAATTGAAATACRTACTGATTTTCGAGATGATTCGATAAACATCGTATTTCTTTTAATCATATCTTAAAAGTTTGACGCACATGCATATTAGGGACACTATACGCAGTAATTATCAGGAGGGAGGCAAGTATGATAAAGAGGGGGCATCACTAGCTTTTCCCTTTCTTTTAAATCATTTCTAAACTCCCCCTTTTATAATAATTGCGCAGTCCCTTACTTAAATGYCTCAAAGCTTTCATGTGTGGAAATACGAATTCGCGATCTGTTTTCATCAATTAGTTTGAAGAATATACGTCTTACGTTATCTCCATTCATATACCATAAAGTGATATTAAGCACGTTTTTGCTTAGTGTTTCTAATTCAAATATGAACAAAAGCTCGTGAGGGSWGCCGGTTGACAATAAATGTAGTACATGCAAGTTCAGAATCGCATAGTTATATTACTCACAATTTATTTTACTCTTATGGCCAAGCAATAAGTTTCTTGTACTTTACCGCTATTTCTCAAAGCGATTTTATATTTTGATGAATCAACTAATATCCATAATTGTGCTACAAAATTAGAAAAATAAGGATAAACCTGACGAAAACATTCACCGTGTTCGATGTTTGGAAAACACCTATTTAAAAAGACGTAGTCGGGCTACCATGAAAGCTGGGACCGAAAGGAAACAAAAGTTGACGTATAACATTGTTTCCGTGCTAAACAATTGCCTGCAAGGAATATAATGTCATTCTCTACGAGTTCTCTACGAGTAATACTATAATTTAACATATTTAGACTGAGCATCATTTAATTTTTTTAAGAATTATCTAAGCAATGAATAACACATTTTCGTGCGTTCCTAGTGAAACAATCCACGCGAATGTTTGGAGAAATAAACAATAGAATTTGATCAATCAGAGAGCCCAATCAGAGAAAACCTTCTATGATAGCTATAGCATAAATGAAAATCCCTTTGGTTAGCTCGATTATAYTATTTTTGGACCCCACAACATTAATAACATTAGGTGTATATTGTCTCAATATGCACTATCTTTGGATCGTGCACCTGCAAATTTCTCTGACATCACTGAATCATGTTTAATTGCTTGAAGTGCTACTAGAGTATGTTTTCTTGAGTGCGCAAGAAGTRCATCACTGGACTTTAGCGCCGTGAACGTGATGTTCTGCAGTCATAATATTTCCGTTTTCTAAGGGTGTTGATGGGATTGTGTTGACGAAACAYGTCTTTTAAGAATAACAAACCTACAAGGTTAATAATTATTTTTTAATAACTTCATTGCTTGTAAGGCTATTTCAAAAAAACTTATCGGGAGAACGGCGAACGGCGATTGTTGAAGGGAGATTGCACGACCGAAAGGGACTGTGGTTACACTGTTTTGATAAACAAAATTTTGTCTTATCTATATCGACYAGGTTGAGCGCGCTATCTCACCTATGTTCAGTTTGTAAGGACTGGTTAATTGCAACGAAGGTCGCTATYCGCCCCACGCAAACGCTAACTGAACGCTGAATGCAAACTTGTAAACCCATATATGGCTACTTTCGGTCGTGCAATCGCCGTTCCACATTCGCCATTTTATCCGACAAACTTTTTGAAATAGCTATATAGAGACCTTTTTGTAGGGGAAACCAGTCGAGGTTCCTAGACCATACCATGTCCGTGCCGTGATCCGTCAGGAAGAGCCGACTGGTTTCTCAGGGCAAGACATACTTTCTAAGAATTTTTTCCAGAAAAATTATATTAATGAGTTATATTAATGTTGAGAAGTCACCAGTTGTTATAGCTGAAAGAAGGTCGARTTCATAAAGTTAAGGTACTAAATACTTTCTGCTAATGTCAGTTCTGASGTCTTCTGACTATACGAGAAGTTTCTGTTTTTCTTTGCTTTTAGTTTTCAAAAGGTTTAACTTGACGTGTTGTTGAATAGACCACATAGTTTCCCACACTCGCTTGGATGAAAACGGAACAATGGCTTTAAGTCGAAACTGGAGGTTTTTCTTTTGCCGAAGTCGAGCATCGAGCTAAAATCATTGTTTCATGTTAATCTAAGCGAGTGTGGGATAGGTCTATTACTTACAAATTCCTCACCAACTGAATACAAAGATCATTGTAGAATTGAACCTACAATAGCATCCAATTCAATTCGACATTACTGATACCCAAGTAATTGCACACCAATCAACATTGAGCAAGAGTCAAAGCATGTCTTTTCTCCTCGGTCAGTTGCTTTAATTGTAAATCTGTTATAGTTAATCTATTTTGTATTTAACTGACAAGCTGGCAAAACAAGCGCGCGATCATCCTATAYCGGACCGTCATCTTTCAGTGAACTTTTGGCATCGGATAGTACGACACATACATCACAATATATTCTTAACGTAATATAGAAATCCAAAAAAAATTCTAAAAGATGCTCCATGAAACTATGGACTGTCGCWAATACAGCGTTAAGAACTGCGGTATCATGATCGCATCGAGAAACGCGAATTAAGTTGAAAAATGTATTATTTTTTCGACGTTCTTATTTCATGTTTGTCCTACCAGGCCCTCTCGGTTGGTGGATCAAAACGCTCTATACCTCGTTGCTCATTACATATTCCCAGGCCATTCAACTCAATGCTTAAGGATAGTATCAAATGAAGCCTGGGCTGCTAAGATTTTATTAAATCTGTGATTCCAAGCTTTCGCTGTCTACAGCATCGGCAGGGAAATGATTTTATATTTGATACTTATATATTGATCTTTATATTGCATTACTGTATACTCCAAAGGGATAACTTCATATATTTAATTTTTTATTTTACAAGTGCTGTGTAAAGGCGTTTGCCTTTGGAGACTGCGCAATATTTATCAGGAGGGAGAGGTGGCACTTATTGTGAATTGTACATGTATATGTACTATACTCTACTTCTGAACGGCTTTTAAGAGGACCTGTAAACGTAAGCTCGTCATGTTGTTTGAAACGCCTCCAATTTGCACGAAGATTGTCGCCAATTTCATTGCATTTTCGGAACGTCAACGCCACTGAGAGCCGTCTCGAATGGTTTTTTTTGTACGCTTTATTACGAGCACCGATCAACAATGTRGGTGCCACGAGGCAGATTGACGAACATGCTCACGATTTGCATCTCATTACASTGTCTGTCCTTTCATATTGAAAAAATTCCCCAACAAACGCTTCTTGATCTATTACAGCTCAGAGCTTCGCCAATACAGACATGCAACTAGGTGCATGAAGCATTTTTTTGTTCCTTTCCTTGCGGTTCCCGCTCCTTGATGTTTTTCACGAAGAAAATATAGTCACTATCTCAAAGAACAGTTTTATTAAAATAACAAAAGAATTTTAAAATARAACAATAAAGCTTTTAAGCTTGTGGAAGAGGCAGGGGTCGAAACCTCCAARCCCCCCCAGCCCACGGGCCTGGAACATCTCGCTCATGACTATTAGATARACTAACAAAGCTTATCAATCTTGATCATCTTTCATGAAGGTTGTATTTTCGGATTTCGTTTCTTACCGTTAACTTGCTGTGAATGGCTCCATCTCTTTTCTCGATGCAGTAGCTATTATCAAAAGATACCTCTGTTCCCTTTATCAATTCACAAACCTCCTTTCCATTATTGTCTTTGTAGGTGTTCGTAGAGAAGCACGTCAAAGAGGCAGCTCATTTTTGCTGGCAACTTATATTAAATGATCAAGGTCGACTGTCTGGAAGATGCCGCAACGAAGTCTAACATTCATGTCACGTTCAAAGCTTGCCCCAGCTGAAAAGGCTTTCTGATCAGTTGCTATGGTGACGAATGTCATCATTTGAAGACTAAGATAGACCGTCAAGGAAATCATGTTAAACACCAACACACGATCTGCAAAGAAAATTAWACTACATTTAAGAACATGCCTGGGAAAAGGGCAGCTTAATTCAATTTACACGTGTACATATCATCAATATTTGGCCGAAATGTATGGCAGGCAACCATAKGAAGCACTTCTAGGCGGGGTCCTCGTCGTCTATTTTAGGGTGTGAATCTAATGAATCTAATGAATTTAGGTCTGCATTGTGAAAGACCGAACCTCCCAATTTGTAAGGTAACCTACGGGGCTATCTTTAGGGCTATCAAAGGGCTATCTTTAGTTTCTCCGAAGTCTCGTCTTCAATTCTTTAAAGGGTAGTCAGTWACCAAGCATATCAAAAATGGCATATTGAAACCCTACACCACCCACCCTTGGATGTGGAATTAATTAATTATAGGTTAAACTTTAAAACTGTTTTCACATCATCAAGTAGATAGCTGGGAGTTGGAAGAGCTCAGTTCATCAGGCTGATGACTAAATCAAAAGGAAGTAGTTTGGTTATTAGACGCCTCCCTCGGCCTCTAAGAGTTGTGAAATCCTGGTTCATAAAATGTTTATTCCCCCATTATTGCCCGGGGACTAGAGAGCCGTGTTTTGAATKGATTGATGCAGTATAGAATCCTTTGTCTTCTTTTTCAGATGCTCAAAAATAATCTGACCACAAAAGGTAAAAAAAAAAAACAACAACAAGCAATCAAAATACGACAACTAATAACAAACTCATACATAATTAATGAGCTACTAGGCCAATAGAATGAGCCTATTTGGTCACATGCAGGGACCTTTATATCTGATAAAACAGAACTAATAAGAATACTAACAAGGGTGATATAGAACTGATTAATAAAACATCAGTGCTTTATCGGGATATAAAGGTCCATCATGTGACCCAATAGTTGGATTCTGATTGGACTAATAGCTCATGAATTATTAATGAGTTCTAGAAAGAATCTTAACAATCTCAATGTTTTGCACTAGTTCTTAAAAATTCTTAATCAGAACTTTTTTTAATTTGCTACAGAAACCACTGACACTGATTTTCCTCGGTCTGCCTGGGTTGGAACTACTAACGAAGACTCCAACTGTATGATCATGACAGCGAAAAACGAATCAGTTAAAGCGTCTTGTGGATTGARGTTAATTTTTTTTAYGTAAGAAGAAACTCTAAATTGATAGACTTTCTGCTCTCGGTTGAACTTTTTATCAATATTACTTAAAATTTATTGAATTCTGTGTCCTTCCAATTTCTATTGTAACAGAAAGTGACAGTATTTAAGCATGTCATATATTCCATATGTTTAGAAAGCTGTGGAAAAAAGCATATGTTCCTATTTTTTTGTTGTTTCAAGTATAATGAAGTCAAAGTTTATGTATGTATCACAGGTGGGCTGTTGTTAATTGTACGTATTTTTTTGATCCCTCATGGAATGCGATAAACTACTTTGTATTGTATTGTTTTTAAATTGCTACGGTGCATCATGACTCCTTACAGATATCTTGTATAGCACGTTGTCATTGCCAAGCAATTTTGTGAAAACAAAATTAAAAGTGACAATAAAAAATTATCTAGAGTGACGTAACGTATTCATTGTTATCGTTACATTTCCACTAAAATACTGCCGCAAGACTGTGTCTTTCTTTTTATTATTTACCTCCCCTAAGAAAACATTACAAGAGATAAACAAAGAAATAGAAATGAAAAGAGAAAGTTAATTGAAAAGACTTGACGCTTTCTCTTTATTGTCTCACAGCATGAGCAACATTTTTAATATAAAAGTCTAGTTTGCAGTGGTCTTGTTAACGATTAATTAATGTTCTGTTATTAAAAGTTTGCATGGGATGTACGACAAGCAGAAGCTATATCATACTTCAAAGAGGATTAATGTTAACAGCGTCGTAGTGTAAGATTAGATTCAAGGTAAGGATTCACGAGCCGATGATGTTTTGACCTATTTTAAATGGATGTGAAATGAAACGATTTCTAAATATTGATAACTGACATAACTGGAGATCTTGATTTTGTTCGTTCCGTTCTCTTCTTCTTCTTCTTCTTCTTCTTCTTCTTCTTCTTCTTCTTCTTCTTCTTCTTCTTCTTCTTCTTCTTCTTCTTCTTCTTCAAAGCATCAAAGTGAAAATCAAAAACATTGAAATTTTATATTGTTGACAAAACTTTCTTACTTTTCAAGTCCTAATATATACATTGAATTTACAGTTCGCGTGTTTTGGTGATAATGGGCTGCCTTGAGACACTTCTCATTTTCCAAATWATATCATTCACTGCTATAGCAACGGGTCAGAAAGCTTKTTCAGTTGGGGCAAGCTTTGAGCGTGATGTGAACTTAAGAGTTCGCTGCGGAATCTTCCAGACTGTCGCCCTCAATCACTTTGGTTGTCAAAGAAAATGCGTTGCCTCTTTACAGTGCTTTTCTACAAATACCTACAAAGACGATAGCGGGAGCGAGGTCTGTGAATTGATAAACGGAACCAAGACGTCTTTCGAMAATAGTTACTGCCTGGAGAAAAGAGATGGAGCCATTCACAGCGAATTAACGGTAAAAGTATATGACATTAAAGCTCCTCCTGCATCGTTAGAAAAACAGTAACACATTGTACAGTAGYGTTGGAAGTCCTCGTTATGGTTAATTTTTGTTATTCTTTTATTTAGTTAGTCAAAAGCAAGACAAGAAAAGGTAAGAGTATATTTAAACTTAATACGACAGCTCTATACTCAAGTTCAGCTATCTGAACAAAGCATACTAACAAAGGCGTCAATGTACACTGAGCAAACAACTAAAGCACATCATTCATTGAAGGGAGGATGGGGGAAGGGAGGATCCGCCATTTTAACAACGTTACGGACCTGCACTCTTAGCAGAATTTGGGACTATTCGAGAAATACGCATACACAGCAGACTGACATAATGTCATATGTGGCAGCCGACCATGAAACAAAACTATAGCTAAGTCGTATTCGTACATGCTTTACGCTTATCTCGTGAAGTGGTCGTGTTTTTCTTTGTTTTAAGTGGTCTGTTACACACCAACAATTACTGTTTCATGTGTTAAGTTCGATCTCGAATCTTCTTGCTTTCTSGAATATTTCAGCTTTACGYCATGGGTGGTACCAACTTGGATCCTCTCAATTCAAGAAYCTACYCAACAAAACATTGAATGAAGCTAAAGTGGCTTGTTACGTTAATCAAGGATGCCTGGCCCATTTCGAGAATGATATGGAAAAAGAGTTTGTTGGTGGACTGTTTAAAGGTTTTATAGTKTTTTAGATTATATCATCATCTTATTGAAATTTGTGAGTTTATTCTCTGCAAAAAATGGATATCATTTCTTCCAATTATATTCTTCATATGGCCCAGAGCTAGTACATGTACATTTTCTTATTTCGTTTAGATATTATATTGTGAAATATAAAAAAAGCTCCTAYATAGGTTTGCCCATATTTGGTGTCTATTCTCTTCTACTTTGCCTCTWTTTTTCCTGTACCAAAATATGAATTTATGTCACACGTTTTGAGCACTGGRCACAAAATGASCATTTGTCTTATAACATCAAGGTCGAAATTGTGCTTATTGCAATCACTAGTTTCCTTGTATTCCGTTGGCAAAAAAATGAACAAAAAATCAGTCTCGTCTTGATTTAATATTTTTTACTTTTTCCATTCTCATTTCTTTTTAATCTCTAACTTTTGTTCTTAGTCTTCACCACTCTTGCAAAATGCAATTATTTATTTCCTTTTTTTTCCGTCTTTAAGACGCACTGACAGCAGAAAATGCTCAAAACGAACTAAAACCCGGCATACATTGGCGTCTAGATGGCTCAGATAAGGATGTCGTGTAAGTACAACCATTGATTTCCCTTTGAAACTTTCAATTCCKTAACTGTTGTAACCATGGGATATACAATTACCTAATTCTATCGCGAAATGAGTGGATTAACACAATTTTGAAACATGACTGTGAGATCCCCAAACTTTTTAAAGTTCTGATAGTACATAATTCAAATGAAACCTTTTGGAAAAATGGGAGAGGGAGGCGGGGGGTTATGGTAGAGTGGAGGCTCCATGTCACTATAAGGTGTTCTAGGATCCGTGTGTGAATACGTAACGTTTATCAACAGGTTGTATGGAAATGCATCCTTTAAACAAGACAATGACATCAACACCGCTGTCCTTGATTTGCCGGGTACCACAGGCTCATATGCYACAACCCCAGCATTTCCAATCTCAAAAATAAGTTTCACAATTTCGATGTGGATAAAGGCACCTAACTTGCTAAGTCCAGGATTGGCCTACTCGTCGTGGGGAAATCCACATGTGTTTGCCCTAAAGGCATCATGGTTCTCTGCGAGAAGACTTCACAATCCAAAGGCAGTACATTTTTCGATCATCAATAACAAGTAAGTGGAAGTTATACAAAATGCAATCGATTTAAGGTGTGGCTGATAGATAAGAGACTTATTGATAGTCTGATCTAGGTATATGTAGTTAAAAACWCTCTAGACAGCAGGTTAATTACTCGGGGTTCCTGTGGAACCGCGAGTTTAAATTTCGGGCTTCTTTTTTTTTCTTTTTTTTTCATTGTCGTCGCTTATCAGTGACAAATTGTCCACAGGTAGCCCAAGCTCATAATCACGTATATTCTAAAAATGCTATTTAGAGGCCAAATTAGCGAAATATTATTATTGTCCTCGATAGAAAATCTAAATTAAAGTATTATTACGAAATTTTGAGCCAACATAATGCTTTTTAACAGAAATACGAGCAAACGAAAGTTGGTAAGAATGTATAGGATTATCACGGCTCAATGCGTTGTAAACAGGTCAAGAAATCTCCTGAAATTCCTATTCGGAAAAACGCTCGTCATATTTTAGTGTGGCTATCCCACGAAAAGTGTGGACATTTTTAAGTGATTTGAGCGTATTTGTAGACGTTGAATTTCTGTCTTCTTCCACCTCGCGTATTACAGTCTCGCCGACTATTCTCATCGGTTTGCACATGAAGTCATCAGTTGAAAAAAAWTCTAAAATCACAGACACACAACATTAAAGTACTAAAATACCTTGAAGAGCATGATAGAAGTTCTCTCTGAAAGTTTCACCTTTTTTTGCTGTTTATTCGTTGAGTTATTAACGTTCAAAAATATGCCACGCAATACTGACAATACTGTCAAGCTACTTGAAACACGCCAAATTAACCTCGGAAAGCCTATAAATCTTAAAACAAGTATAGTCTCAGCATTATTGAATTAATTTTTTATAATGATATTGTTGGAAAACTGAAGCGAAATCATTAGTTTTGAGTTCATTTCGACACTCGGAGTTACTGTCCGCGTGGTTGTGTACTGGATAGTCTATCAAACAAGCTACCAGCTAGTATCTTAGCACAAGCGAACTATATACGAACTTATGCAGGCTATGAAACTACTAAGGTATCGTCTAAGGAATGCGAACAGAGTTCTTTTGAGGAAAAGCCGCCGAATGGAAGAGCGGAGAAGATAAAAGACTATGTGTTTACAGCCTGTCATGTGACTATCAAAGTGAGACCGGATTGCTGATGATCAATTTTTTCATAATATTTATGCTGAGTACACTGTTTTTTTATTATTTTTTATTCCTGGAAGTATCTTTTGCTTTACGCCTTTTGATAGTATGACTATTAACTTTATTAAGGTTCAATATAGTCCAATTCTTCTCAATTCTTCGACTACAACACTCATTGTTGTCACTTCATCGTTAATAGCGGAGCTCCCGCGCGGGCCGAAGGCCCGCGCGAGCGGAGCACCATACCTAAGAAAAAATGGTATACCATCGAGTCGATTTTCCATGGACCGACACAGGGTTCCCGCGCGTACGCACGTTTCCTTCCGTCCGTCCGTCCTTCCGTCCTTCCGTCCTGGATTTCGTGTACCACCACAGGAAACCCATACTCCGCTCGAAAAGGAAACAAAGCGCCAAGTATTTGTTGAAAAATCGATTTTTTTTCCTTAAACATTTATATTACATATTGATAATATTAGAACAATTAATAACAAGGAAAAAATCCACTGAAGAG